AGCCTCCGCCCAGCCAAACCTCACCTAGAACAACTTCACGAAGTGGCGGACTGATCTTCGGATATCACGCGAAGTTGTTCCAAGGTCGGCCGGGCCCTCAAGATCTCTCTCCTCATCCTTCGTATGCGGGCAGCCATCCTACACTAACATCTTTGTAAGATTTGTGGTGGAGGCCAAAGCTCCAAAATCCATAGCACCTCCAACGAAGTCAGGGAGCTTCATAAAGTTGGCTTTCAACCAGGATAAGATGTTGAATGCCGAAGGCTCAGAAGGCAGCGGTGGCGTAGAGCCTCCGAACTGCTCAAGCGCCCCCACATGAAGCTTAGCTGCCGCCAGCCTGATGGACTTGGCATCCTCAAGGCGCTTAGATAACACATCTAATTGCGCCTTTAAGGCAGCGCTGGACTCCCTCTTGGCATCGACCTCCTTTCAAAGGCTGTCGGCTACCTCAATGCCCTTCAGAGCATGCTCAGCAGCCAGTTGCTCGGTGGCCTTCGTGCCATAAACCTCCTTATTTAGCAAGTCAACCTTCTTATGCAACTCCTCCAGTTCAACACGAACAGTGCAAAGGCCACCAACCTCCCCTACAAGCTGAGTCTTTTTGGCCTCTAGAGTCTCTACCTCCTTTAAGGCCTCGATGGCCAAATTGTGGTCGACCACCTCCCACGTGCCACACACTTCGATGGCCTCCAAAAGATAGTGACTTTGTCAAAACGAACGTCGGCCATAAGCAAAGTAGAGTAATAGCCGAGAAAACGAGAAAAGAAACATACCACACATTGCTGCTCCAAGTTCATTCGCAGCAACTTGAAGTAGTCTACATTTTTCAGGTGGTGGCGAAGGCAGCCTAGCAGCAAATTAAGCGTGAGAAACGTAAGACAAAAAGTAAGAAAATAAGAGATATAGGAAGACAAAAAGTGAGAAACCTCCTATATCATTATAAATAGCTTCAACCACATCCGCCCACCCACTTATTGTGCTGTCGGAGCCACCTAGAATAGCAAACAAAATCAGCAAGACTAAAAATAAAAAATAATGCAGAAACAAAAAACAAGAAATAAAAAGTAACCTTCGCCACCATCCAAGCCAGAGCTGGATGGACGAGGAGTCGGACCCCCAAGTGGAGGCCTCGGAGGGGCTCCCAAGCCAATCCGAGCAAGGTCCACACCCAAAGGGTCATTAGGGTTTTCATCAGTCCTCCCAAGGGCCCCCATCAAGCTCCCTAGAGAAATAAAAAACAAGTCCCGCTAAAATAAGAAAGATTAAGCACTAAAGGAAAAGCAAAGCTAAAAAGCAAGTCACCAAGATGCAAAGAACTCAGGACACTACTTGAGCCTCCAGCATCCTTGGCGTGGTGACCGGTGGCCTAAAACCCTATGCCCCGAGACAGAGCAACTGGAGAGCTTGCCTCCGCCTCATCCTCGGACACCTCATTGAGACCTACCGCAGGTCAGCAAAGGCCAGTACCAGCGGCCTCCCCCTCTCTGGGCGAAGAAGCATCCACCACCAGCACCATCACCCTTAGAGCTAAAAGTTTTGTCACCCAAAATGCTAGGCATATGCACCACGGCGGAGGGCTCCGCAGCAAGGCCACCACCCCCACCTTGGAGGGCGGCATCCACCAAATATTCGCTGCCAAGATCTAAGGAGGCAGCAAAGCGCTAGCCTCTAGTTCTAGCAACAGTAGAGCTAGAGCCTCCGCCAACGTTCTCGGCAACCTCCTCCTCATCATTCGTGGAGGCAGCAGCGGATGCATCGGCGGAGGTGACAATAGAAGCAACCCTAGTCTTCCGCCTCTTGGTAATGACCTTGGGCACAGTAGCCCCCTTCCTCTTCCTTGCCTCCACCATAGCAGTGACATTCTTGGCAGCGGCCTTCCTTGCCTTGTCCTCTATGGACTTGTGCACCATCGCAGGAACATCATGTTCCTCGTGGTGGATCCAAAATTCCTCAAAAACTCTATTAAGCTAGGGCATCATACTAGCGATGGCATGGCGCGCTAGATACTCCCTATCGGACATCTCACCATGTATCTCGTGTGCTCCCACCTCAACGGACTTCACCAACTTCTCCACAGCTCGGCCCTCCTTCTTCTCAAATCCAAAGCGCGGGAAAGGAACCCTGACACCTTCGCCAAACATAGGTAGACTAACCATCTCAATGGTCATGGTGGGCCTATTCCTACTGAGGGGCTAGCAGTTAGCCACCACCATCTCCTTGACCAAGTCGCGACCTCCGGAGTACCGGTAGGCCAGAGCGAAGGACCTATCGCATACTTTGCGACCCTCCTCAATCCCTGGACCTAGGGTTCCCTAAGTCAAAGGCCTCATTGGAGTCATCACCGAGGCTAGCGGATAGCGGGTATTCTTCTTCCTGTCTGAGTCAGTAGATGTTATGCCTCCGATCCTCATGTAGAACCAATACTGTATCCAATCCTTCGACCACTTGTTCTTCTGGGCAAAGGAGATCTCCAACTTCTCGCCCTTTTAGGCCCTTCACGGCATAAAAGCGCAACTCCCATACTATGCCACCGGTTGATCTTTGCCAACTCGCTTAGGCTGGCGCTGGAGCTCATAGTACTCATAGAAAGCACCAACGTTGGGCTCCGCGCCATAAGACAGGCAGGCCCAACAAAAGTTACTCAGGGTAACTATTCCATTGGGCGTTAGACGGTGAAGTTGTACCTCAAACGCCTCCAACACCTGGCGAAGGAAGCGTGCCGTCGGGAAGCGAAGGCCGTAGAGAAAGAAATCCCTAAAAACCACAACATCAGCAGCCTTCGGCTTAGGAATTGTCTCTCCCTCCGGAGGCTTCACTTTAGCATCCCCAAAGTAGCCTAGCTACCACAACTCCTCAATCATGCCCTTAGTCATGAGCGAAGGCCCGAAATCCCACGTCTTGGATGTGCCAGCCATGTCTCGTCCCTCTTCAGCAATGATTAAGTCTGTGATGGAGGCCTCAACTCTAGAAAGATCCTCTTCAAGCCCCAATGCCTTCACACTAACAATCATGCACTCCTCAAACCACGTGGACCACCCACTAGACCTAACACTAAGAAGGCGATGGTATGGCCCAAAGAAGGAAGTCCGGCACGGAGGAGGACTAACAGGCGTAGCCACTTCTAAAACTCAGAAACAGCCCAAGAGGGGAGCGAAGGCAAAAACCAACTAGACGAAAGCTGGGCGGAAAGGGACAGCGCGGGAAGCGGCAGCATTGAAAGTGATGGCTAGGATATGGATGGGGGGCCTTCACCTCCCATCCCTTATATAGCCCCTGCCACGACGCTTTGATTTTTGGGGCCAACGATCACATCTGTTCCAAAACACGTTGGTTCAGCAGCCACCTTAGTGAATCAAATAACAACACGTCACCAACACAGTGGTCTGATCCAGGCGTCCCAGGGGGAAAGGGGGAATAGCCTCCACGTGCACAAGAGCCTTCACACCTCAGAGCCTGAGGGCTAGGTTTCAAGGGCAAGGCACGCATGGGGGGAAGCCTCCGCGCCTTAGAGCCTGAGGACAATGTTTTGAGGGCAAGGCTTGCCAGCATCAGACCAAGCCCTCAAGGGGGGAACTATTAGGACAAGGTTATGAGTCGCAGAGGCCAAGGACCGCAACAGTAATGAAAGCTAATGATTAACGAATTTTATGTGTGATGTGTACAAAGAGAAGATGAAAGCCTCTGCACGATCGGCCGATCAGGGAGAAGGACCAGAGGATGCGGTGAAGGCAGCCGAACGCGGTCCGAGGCGGAGGCTTCGATGCCCTAGGTGGAGGCTCCGACTCCCTGAGCGGAGGCTCCGGCGACTGGAGTGAAGGAGCCCGGATGCAGCTAATGGCGAAGGCTCGGGTGGCACCTGCGGAGGCTACGGAGAGTCGGTGCGCAGGAACGGGCGAAGGTCGCCCCAGGCGAAGGCCCCACGAGTCGAGGGACTTTCTGAAGGACGGCGGTGCCGGGCCGTGGGCCACAGACAGACTCACGGTTGCGGCCCATTAAGCAAAGGCGGTTGAAGAAGGCACCCAAATTACCCTTAGCAGTTTGTATTAGTATAGGAATATTCCAAGGATGTATTGTAATCGTCTAGGGGTAAAATTGTAAAAGAGTAGCCTTAGCAAGCAGTGCCCTATAAGGCCCTGTTTGGATGCAAAGTATTTTTGAAGTATCGAAGAAATACTATGGTTTTACAAAATACTTTGGTTTTTAAAAGCTACTAGGTGTTTGGATGCAACAAATCTTATAGTCTCTAAAACCGTGGTTTTGTCAAAACTGTAGTCTTTTTGGAGTTTTCGAAACTCTACTCATGACCTGCTTTTTCTAAACCATGGTCTTGTGTCTCTTTAACTTATAAAACCACAGTTTTGTGATACTAGAGTTTTCAAAAACCGCATCATCCAAACAGGCCATAAAAGTGGAACACAAACTCTGTACAAGGGGGAGGTAGTTGAATGTATTTATGAAACCCTAGTTTGATCTGGACCCACTTTCCACCTGACACGCCTTCGCCCGAGGCACTTGTTCGGATGAAGGCTTCGGCTATCTCCTTCTAGTCCCATCTGCTGGAAACCACCGTTTTCCAACATCCACTGAGCAGATCAGAATACTAGTTTTGTTCATAGGCCACAATACCCTAGACCATATGATGCACTGACCAAAATTATAGCAGCCACAAAGTGCCAAAGTAAAAGGCCGCACAATACTTCTCAAAGGTCACAAAACAATGCAACCAGCAGCATGGTTCAAAAGTTAGAGCTACTAGTACAAGGAGTAAACAACCAGCAACCAAATGAAGTTCAACCATTCCTAGGACCTAGAATTTGACGGAGGAAGGATATGGTTTCTTGTGATGCCTTTTTTAAATTTTCAATCTCCTCAGCCTGTTTTGCCATTGCCATTTCGGACTCTTTCTTCAAAGTGTCCATTGCCATTTCTGATTCTTGCTTCATGGCTTCAAACTCATGCTGAAGGTCTTCTTTTGATTTTTTCTCGATCTCAAGCTCAGCCTAAAGCTCTTGCACCTGTGAATGAAAGACCACATATGTTGATTTTTTTTAGTATTGTGTGCAAACTGAATAGCTAGGTACCAATAGATTCAAATTGGGTTTACTGTTTTATGTGCAGGACAACTAGGTACTAGTACATTCAAGCTGAACAGCTAGGTTTTTATTCCTAAAATAAATGCATATGCCCAATTAGGGGACAACAATTCGTGTTCATTAGCAGGACAGCTAGGTACTAGTTGATTCAAACTGAACAGCTGGCCATTTATTCCTTATATCAAATGCATATGCATCACAAGGCAGCATTTTTCTAACATTCAGCCTGATAAAATTGCTATTGGATACCTAACACTTGAACATATAATTTGGGTAATAAAAATAATACCAATACTCTATGACTTGATGAAGCACAAATCTGTACAGAAAATAACTTCAGAGAGCATGCATGGTAGGGACTTGATGCAGTTGTACCTTTGAGGAAGTGCCACCTTTAGAGATATTATTGGAGTTTGATTGAATTCCTGCAACTTGAAGAAACGCAGTCGATTTCACAACTTCAGAAACAGCATGGTTCACTGACATTGGTTGCTCTCCATCTTGTGCTGGTTTAACCATGATCGCTTCTATATCAGCCTAGCAAAACAAAATTACAATAGAAGCTTAAATCTTGTGTCTAGATTATTTTTTCATGTGTACGTCATGAATTAAATAATAAAATATGTGCATTCTTGGCTGCCTCCATCTCAGGCAGACTCCTTGGAGCTCAGGATAATATCTATGCAGGATATCAGTCAATCAGTGCAATCAATGAAGTTGAAGAAATTATGCAAACCGAAGATGCTAGTACAAAGGACATGACTGCAGTAAGCAGCATTGATTGTAGTGAAATGAAACAGATCATCAACAGTACAGTAGAGCAAAGGATACCTTTGTGAAGAAAACAAACAGACTGAAGATACTGATGACACACAAATCTATTTTTTCATATGTACGTCATGTAGCAAAGAAGAATAAAAGGGAATCAATCACTCACAATAGCTTTCTTGATAGGATCATTGAATCCTTTGTTCTTGCTGCAGTGGAAGTCCTTGAAAAGATCAATCGCAATGGGTTCTACATCTTTGTATTTCTCTCGTTTCTAAATTATTCGCAAAGAATTACAAACAATTAGGTTGAAACAAAAATCATAATATATTCATTACTGATCATTGGTTGTTTAGTTTCTTACCACGACATGGGCTTGTGCAATGTAACACTGAGATCCTATGCAGTGCTGAAGCAGTACTTTCTCACGATTTTTCTGGTTTTTCAAGCACTTGTCCTGCAGTTGAAATATTTGTTTAAGTGTTTCTGCACACAGGACAAATAGTAAATAATATAGAAGGACGCGAGTAGATGTCAGACAGCAGGGAAAGGTTTTCAGTGATCAAATTACTGGGCTATTTACTTAACATCATACATTGTTGACATTTTTTGCACATAAGACAAAAAAGACACAGCAAATAACACTGATGCAGGTTTGAAATAATAGAAGGCCTGTACCATGTTATGACAGAATGGATTTTATATATGGCATATGGAATATCCAACTTGTAAAAAAAATCACGTGTCAAGACCTAAAGAAACCAGATAGTGAAGGTAAGTAAAACAGTACTAAATCTTTGCATAAAAATATGCTCACATATTAGTTACATATTGCTCAATTCAAAGCATGTGGAAATTTTGAGGTTTGTCGCACCTTATGCTTCGGATCTGACCACATTTGCACTAAGGCCTGCCATTCATTGTCAGTCATATGATTCACAGGCGATGTAGTCCTCACTTCACTTGCTGGTACCCCATCGAAGTACTTTTTTCAGCTTGTGCCTCATCTGACGTTGTCCATACTTAAGCAAATCAGCACATGCATATTGGACTGTTCACTATTAGTGTCAATGGTGAATTGGGCCTAGTAAAGAGCATGACAATTAGAATCTGCGAATGCAAAGGCTTGACTGAACTTTCATGAAATCAGCAAAATTGAATTTAACTTACACAAAATTTTCCAATGTAGTTTTCAATATGTGACTTATTTTTCTTGTATTCCTTCCGGTGTGTAAGGATTTGTATGTGCTGCCTAAGTGTGATCCCACCCTCTGATGCAAGCTTGGCAGCTTGGATAGGCGCCTCTGGCCGTCTGTTCCCTTCAGAAACATGGATTGGCAACTTCATGCATAATCCTCTACTTAGCCTATCTAGTTATCTGCCTATGCTTCTTCCTCTTATCCTATCTGGATCGTTTCTTCTAGCAAGTGCACCTAACAACAATATAATGTTAGTGTTAATCTCGTAGTTGCTATTTGCAACTCATGTATGTACTAAATGACTGCATGAATACAACATAGATTCAGACTGCAATTTTTTAACAAGTCCATTCATGTACAATTCAAAGGTTATGGATATGAATAGATGAGAATAAAGAAAAACTATTTAGAAGTACGACTGAATTTAGAAGGCAGTAAATTTATGACAACTTCATATGCCTTCTAAATAATGAAAAGTGATTTGTTTGCACAAGGTAGATACCGTCACTTGCCTTCATGTGTAATGTCAACCAAGTCTTGTTGCAGGGAGGGATCACTGCCAGAAACCAACACATCATGTGTGGGTGTGGCATTAGGCAGGCCTAAGTTGATCACTTATTGTGGGTCTAGACTTGAAGCCAAGGCTAGATCCCTTGTTTTCTGCCTAGTGACTCTGTTAGGCACATCTTGTTCCAGAGGTGCCACCACTCGCTTAGATGCTTTTGTTCCTCTAACAGAGGTGTTCCCAGACCTTGTTGGTTTCTTTGTATGTGCAGCATGAGCAACCTGCAAAGCCTCATTAGGCAAAAAAAAAACAAGTAGAATTGGCACCAAATTTGCTAAATAGCATACTGACACGGAATAAGAAACAATAAAGGACAAACAAACATATGCTTAGAAGACTTGGTACCTTGCTAATAACCTCCTCACCTTCACAGTCCTCACTCTCCGGACCACTCTCCTGACCTGTATACAACGATCTAGAAACTTTATGGTCTTCACCCTTTCTCTTCACAGATGTATTGTTCACTATGGGCACTAATGTCTTGATACCAAGCATTTCCAGCTCTCGGTTGTTTTTCATTATTTCTTTATTCCTTGAACGCTCATATTCAGTAATAGGCGCCTCTGTAAAAATTCATTTGAGAATAATTAGAAGGTTGGAATTTAATAAGATTATATGCATCTGTAAGACCTCAGAGCCTATGTAAAATGCTGCATGTTTAATTAACTTTTCATATTAGACTGTGGACTAATCAATTTAGGGATAGCCTCATCCAAAAACGAAAAGCTGTAGGATCGGCTATTATCTGTAACACATGTATTAGCTTCAGCCTATCATACTGGTATTCTGTAGCAGTGGAGCAGCCTAGCGAGTCATCATTAGAGAAAAAGGGACAGTGAATTTCCATGGCAAATTGAGGGTTTGCTGCAACAAATTTATTATGATTGAACAGAGAGACAAAGGAAATGGGCGAGATGTGGGAGGAAGGGTCAGACCAGTCAATCAGTTAACTCTGCAGATATTTAATTGCTGCACGCCTGCCACTGTGCAAGTCAATAACACAATCTATAAGCTAGCTGATAATTGGCTGGCTTTGTTGCTATTGAGTTCTTATTTCTAAACTTTAAGCACACGCTCTCTCTCTTTGGTGTTCATATGTACATGTTACTGCAACACAAGATTCATTTTTATTCGTCTGGCAGCATCAGACTACTACTATGCAATGCATGATGAGTTAATACATTATAGATTTCTTATAAATAATGTAATTAGCTCATATTACCTATCTACAATAACCTGAATGTTGTATCATATTACCTATCCGGGTTCAGTTCAATGAATTTCGACTAACCCTCTATGATTTTAGCCCATAACAGCCAAAAAAATTCTGTAAAGAAAAAATAAACCGAAAAAGAAAAATAGATTTGCACAGGGAAATCTAGACTTTCCACTAAGCAACCAAGCTCAAAAAAGAAAAACCTTGTCTCTAGTCTTTTGCATCAGGAACCCTGCAAAAAGTTTCTAATTCATTTTAACCCTTCTTCCTTGGATCGACACAGAGCACAGGCAGTCCAGACCGTCGGGGGTGGACCTGGGGGCGCCGGGATATGGCTGTGGCTTCCCTGTGCCACGCCTGGCCCTAGCTCGGCCGGCTGCAGCCAGCAGCAGCCTGGCGTGACAGCAGGCGGCACCGGGGACGGGCGACGGCGGCGGCCGCTCGCGCTCGGTCACTCCGCGCTAGCGCTCGGTTGCTCCCTGCTCGCTTCTGCTGCACGCTGCAAGGAGGGGGCTATCCGGCATGCTACAGAGTCAGCAGTGGCAGGGGGCAAGCCGCAACCCAGCACTCCCGCAGGGGCATCGTGTAACAGAACCGTCCAATTTATAAGAGCACCAGTACAATAGCAACCACCGAGGCAGTCAAACCATCACACTTGAGCCCATATAAATCTGGTAGTCCGTCGAGTATCACGAAGGATCTCGAATCAACCAACATACAAGCCAAGATCGTACATGATTCAACATACAAGCCACATGTTACACAAGTTCACAAATAGTTTGTCATACATCGGAGTTCCAACACAGTTATTACAATATCAGTTCAACAGTAGCAGAAGCAACACAGTTCTAAACGACATCAACAATAGTTTAGATACATAGCCAGTTTTCACAGTCTTCTCCAACAAAAGCACAAGGGTACGATGATATATAGAATGACCATGCCTATGGTCCTATTCCTCATCCACTGTAGGAGCAAAGCAGTGCTTACAGTAGCCGTGGTACATCACGTTATCTGCAACAATAGGGAAATAAATCCTAAATACGAGAAGGTACTCAGCTAGACTTACCTGTCATAAACCAAAAATAAGAGACACTAAGGATATGCAAGGCTTATAAGTGGAGCTGGTTGACATCCTTTGCCTACAAGACAATATTTATCTAGTATCTTTTAACTTTTGAATAACATGTTTATTATTCCTGTTCCATTCTAGATTAGCATCTATCCTATGCCAAACATGTTGTGTACCATTAAATCATCACAATAGTAACCATATCAAGTTGAGCATTTCCATAATTCACATAACCAACACTTTCATCAGTTACTATGATGAAGGAGCTCATGTCAAGTTCTCACTATCCAGGAGAGACGGCGATTCGAATCATTTCCTACCCAGCTAGGGAATTATTCCTAACACACACCCATACTTCCCCGTCAAGGTCGCATCGGGTCACCTTTGGTACAACTCAGGTCCAAATCGCGGGTAAGACCAGCGTCGTACCCTCAAAGATACTACCAATCTGCCAGAAAGCTCGGGACTCGAACCCGCCCTTGGACTCATGTCATTGGCTCTCTGCACATCCTTACTGCCTCTAGGGTATGCACTTTAACTACTCGTGTTCCCGGCCTGAGTTGAGCTACTTGACTTCGCGGGCGGAATGACTTATCTGGCCAACTATGTGAGAGACATGCGTTCAACATGACAAGAGGGCCTACAACGGCAGGTCCTGAAACGACACAGATGAAATCACTATAAGTCACCACACCTAACATATAAGATTCCGCTCGGTCTCCAATTGTTCAATATCACCAGGTTATGTTCCACGATAGCACAATATAGCCAACCGTGATCAAGTCACCACCTATAGCTCGCAGGTGATAGGAAATCACCCGACTTCTACCGGTCTAAGCATGGCTAAGCATAAAGGTCGATCCTAGACCTACATAGGATTGAAGATAGATATTTCTGTACAAGGAAAGTATATGCAGCAAGTGGTTCCAATCAACTCTTATAACCTAATGCATCAAACATAAAGGACTCAAGTAATATTTTGTAAAACATGAAAGACTTAGAATGCACCAGGGCTTGCCTTTCACAAACATGGCTGGCTGGTGGTTAGGGCACTCTAGGAGATGATCAACTTTAGGCTCGCCTTCACCTGGAGCTTCTTGGTGTTGAGCTTCCTGGTTCTCCTCATGTGGATCGGCTTTGAGTTCCACCAACGTGATTTCTTCTACTGCACCTATTGCATGCATATGCATAAAGTATCATGGATGCATAATAAGAATTGTGAATGATATGACATGAGAACATGCATGATTCTATGTTGATGATTATATCAAGTTACTTAGATGATAACTAATTTGAATTTTTATTTACTGAGTAGGTGCAAATCTCTTCTCTAGAAATTTCAAGAATCCACACTAAGTCCATTTCTGGACCATAACACAGCAGCTACAAGTTTAGATCAAAACTAGAGTTTTACTAAACCAAATGCTGTGATATAGGACTTTTTGGAAAGCTTATAAAATTTCCTACAACTTTCATCTTATCACCAAAAGTTGATTCAACATCGATCCTAGTCAAAACAGTTAACTTCCCAGGTTTGTCCTAAAATTCCAGAGAGTAAGCATTTTGGGAGACCAACTTCTAACAGCCATAACTCCTAAACCATTTGGTCTATCGCCCTAAAATTTTGACACAAGCTAAATAAATAAATTATATACAACTTTGTTATTAACTAATATTACAACAAATCTCATCTTGCCAATGCAATTCACCAAGTGACAGAATCTGTCCAAAACAACCTCGATGATGGAATTATAGAGCAATAATATTTTCACTGCATATAAGCATTCAAAATTGAACATCACCAATTGTACCAACAGTTCATAGACCTCAAATACACTCTAGAAAACATAATGGTCAAGCCCAATTTATTTATTTAAATGCCTTTATTAATGTAATTAGATAATTAGGTGAAATAACAAACATATAACAAATATGCATAGTAAATTCTCAGAAAATTACAGTAGCTTCCAAGTGCTCCCAATAGGCCACTATATAAGTTTCATACCATTTGAACATGTATAACGTCCTCTACAAAAATGACAAGCTAGCAAGGTTTATTTTAGTGAAAATAGTTACCCCTATTGAAAAGTGTCAAGCAACAGATTTTATATTTTTCTTAGCTTCATCCAAGTACCATAACACTGTGTAAAAATTTGAAAGATCATTAGTTATGTATTTTGCCCCATTTATTTTCACTAGAAACTAGCATTTATTTATGATTAAATAAGAAGACCATATCCAAAGTATGACCACTGTAAGTTTAGTATTTTACCTAGCTAGAGCATGTCAATACAAACTCAACAAAATTGGAATCCCAATTTTTGCACATACTAAACTCAAGTTATGCATTTTCCAAATTAGAAACTATTTAAAAAGCATTTATCTAGCTATATTTTATTCTCCTAGAAAAATACCAGAAATAGTGCATCTCATATTTTTATCAAATACTACACTTCATGAGGAATCAAACAAAATTTGGTTCACCAAAATTGGACACTCCAAACTCGAGATTTGAATTTTTGAAACATGCATTCAAATCTGGAAAAATAAATCAGAAATTCAAATCATCACAGACTGACAGCTGGGGCTCGAGGTCAATGGGACCCGCACGTTAGACACATAGAAGCAGAGCACGGTGGTTGATTGGTGATAGTTCGGCATCGGTGAGGTTTTCGACGGTAGCATCTACACCGCTGCACTCTACACGTCGAGCCGCGTCGGTAGGTATGCTTGGTTTGCCTAGAAGCTCACCGGAAGTAGCTCACCGGCGGCAATGGCGGATGGTGGAGGTCACGTGGCAGTATGCCGGCGTCCTTGGCCACCGTACGCTCTAGTGAGGTGCTGTATAGCTTCGCGATAACCTATTGGAGCTAACCTAGGTGGCTAGGGTTTCAGTGATGTGACGGCGAGCTTGGTCCGTGTGCGTGGACGCATGGTGGTGCTCGATGCACGGCGGTGCTCTTACCGTTCCGGCAAGATGGCGGCGAGAGAGAGGTCTCTATCATGCCATTAACTAGACCTAGGGTTACCCTACCGAATACGCGAGAGGACGGAGGGATACGGTTGACTAGCTCGACGGCAACAAGCTCTAGTGCCACGACGGCAATGGTGGTCGCGCGTAGTGCGGCGATCTGTTCCGAAATCGACATGCGGTGGCGTCATCCCCAGATTTGGCCTAAGCTACGAGACTCTAACGGGGTGCTGGACCAAAGGATATGGAAGCATGTGGGGCAGTGGAATGGCCAGGCCATGGTGAGCCATGAGCATGGGGGCGCTCCGATGATGGCATGGTGGCGGCGAAGCGAAATGCGCCCTTACCCTGGTTTGGCAAGTGGGGCTAGCGGGTCGGGGTGGAAGAGGTGACGATGGTGGAGCTCCTGGCGAGCTAGATTGGATGGTGGTGCAGCGATGGTGGTGAGTGGGCATGGCGGAGCGACGGTGAAGGCGCGGCGGCGCGGTGCTCCGCTTTGCTTAGGCGCGGGCGAGAGAAGAGCGGGGTGCTAAAGTGAAATAAAGCGAGCAGCAGAGGCGTGTGACTTATCCCTCTGTGCTGGCCTGACTGGTCGAGCTAGCACCGGCATATGGCCCCCACGCGACATGCCTGGACTACCCATGGGCAGCCACTGATGGCACAGCGTCCGCCTCCATCATGCCCCGATGACACGACTGGCAGAGCGACTATGATCCCCTGTATCTCCTAAACCAGTTAGAGTTAGCAAAAATTCCTTGAATACAAATTGTAGAGCTACATATAATCTACAAACTTGCTTTAAGAAGCATCCCCAAATTCCCAATGGTTAGCCAATTACAATGCTCCCAAGTGAGGTACATTGAAACTGTAAACAACATTAAGAAAAATTTAGCAAGTCCAAAACAACATTTCTTGCTACTTGTGAGCTATTTTTGAGCATGCTAAGCACTGAATTAGACTTTGACCCAAAAATAAAAGTTGTTGATCTAGTCAAGTACTACAACTTTGCTTAAGGGTGCACTGCATGCAAACACTCTATGCTATAGTTCAACTTAGGTCAGACATGCAACTTGAAAATGATAGCTTACTCTATAACCATGACTTAGAGACCAAATTAGTCCAAGTCATGAATACCAAAGTTGTTCCATATGACATTCTGAGCATGTTAAAAGTACTCCTAGGGTCCCACAAGCATTTTATACATCGGTTACATGTAAACCCTAGCATAAGTAAAGCATTTAGTGACAAACACATGTGATATAAGCAATCATAGAGATAAAATTTGAGATGCTCATGCTCATGAATGATCAATGATGTTGGTGCTCATGCAATGCCAATGACAACTGCATGCTTAACACCTAGGGTGTTACATAGTGGGTGACGCTACAGCCATGCAAGAACGCTGCGTAGGTAGGGCAAAGGTAGGGCCCGCCTAAACACCTCCCCCAGCCTCAAATCCAAATCCAAATCCATGGTACCTTCCCCAGCCTTAAATCCAGATCTATGGTGATATAGGTATGGTAGAGAAATTACCTACGAAGTTCGAAGTCCCTGAGGGCTTCCTTCCTCTTCCTCTTCCTGGAGCCATGTCGGTCCTGCGAAGAGGAAGCGGTCTTGGCGTAGGGAAGTAGCAGCGATGGAAGAGAATGAGGAGGATGCGGTGGTAGAAAATGAGGATGGGTTGGCTGTAGGAAATGAAGAGCGGTAGGAAAATGAGGATGGGTCACAGGAAGAAGCATGTAAGCCAAAAAAATTTGCTGAAGTAGCGCGCACTGATGAAAAGAGTGGTGCGCAGGAACGGGAAGAGTGGCATGCTAGGATAGAAAGAGCAGCTCAGTGGTTGACCCTTTATTTTCTTTTTTGCTCCTTTATGCACCCAAGGTTTGATTCATGGTGCTCTCCCCCTTTTTTCTATTTTGGTGACTTCTTTTTTTCAACCCTTTCTCTATTTTTTAAGTAACAACCGCAACAAATAGAGGTACATTTACTTGGGCCAAAACAAATTGTGATTGGTGTTCTTATAAGTGAATTCAAATATGTATTAACTAAATTTTGCACAATGAATTTATGACGACAGGAAATTGTCATATGTGAAAACATAAATCTCAGTGACAATAGAAAGTTCATCGTTAACAGCAAACGAACTCTACGACAAATCTAATTTGTAACACCCTAGTGTTAACCATTGCATTTGGCACCTACATTTCATGAGCACAAGCATCATTCAAGCATTCATGAGCATGGGCACATGAAATTTCATCTTATTCTTACATATTATCACATGTGATGTTGATTGTATACATGTATATGCTTGTGATCATGTGTGACCAATGCAAGAGATGGTTGTGAAGTCACAAAAACACCTTAGACACATATAGGATGGAAAATAGAACAATGTTTGTATTCATGACATGACCCAATTTTGCTTCTAAGTCCTAGTTTACTCAAAACTTCATTTTTCGTGTCTCTACTTTGACTAGAGTTGAACTATAGTCTAGATTGTTTGCATGATAGGGCACCCTTAATAAAAGTTATAGCTCTTGACATGGGTAACAAACTTTATTTAAGGGTCATGAGCTAATTTAGTGCCTAACATAGTGAAAAATAGCTCCAAAGTAGCAATCAAATACTATTTTCAGGACCAAGAAATTTTGCTAAGTCAAAAAGCTATTTACAGTTTCAAGTGACCTACTTTGGAGCACTGTAGTTTGAAAACCATTGCTAATTAGACAAAACTCCTTTAAGCAATCTTGTAGTATTCATGTAGCTCTACAATTCTTAGTAATGATGTTTTTGATAAATCGCCATGGATTAGGAGTACCAAGTGCTTGAACTCACACTGTCAGTCGGCCTGATGGCCGGTTTGAACCAGCAACTGCGTGGGCCATCGTGGCCTGCCATGCCAGGGCTCGCCCATGGCATGGCACCATGCGTGCTGCCCTGTCCCCACACTGCCATGCCAAAAGCCCGAGGCCGGATGCTCGTTCACTCCCTTGCGCGCTCATTTGCTCTCTCTCTCTCCCGCGCTCGCCATAGCGAAGCAGAGCGCCGTCGTCGCCATCACCACACCTCCACCATGCTCGCACGCTATCCAAGCCACACCACTAACCAATCCATCTCGCCCATATCTTTGCCACCATCTCCTCTACCTTCCCGACCTGCCATTATCGCCTCTCTAGCCAAGGTGAGGGCCCTCGGGCCATTGCAGCCGCTGCCATGGCCACAGTATGCCGCCGAGATACGAGCTCGCCCGTGGCCAGCCACAACCCATGCATCTCTGCTCTCTCTCTCCCTCATCTGATCTTTGTCGTAGGTCCTAGAAGCTAGAGCCGCCGTTTGTTTAACCGCTACCACCTCATCGGTGATGGAACGAACATCCACACCGTGCGCGTCCACCATGGACGCGAGCACAAGCTCGCCGTGGCTGTCCCTAACCAGGACGCGAGCACGAGCACGAACATCCATTACCCTCTATCATGCTTTTCAGTGCTGCCGTGAACCCTAGCAGCTTGTCCCATGATAGAGACCCATCACCGACCGCCATTTCATCAGAATGATGACCTCACTATCACCGCGCTCGCGCCACCGTGCCGCCATGCACGTGGTCGTGCCCCTCCGACACCATAGCTAACCCTAATCCACGCTCGCTAGGTCACATTGAAGCCATAGCCGAGGCTGCCCTAGCCCATCATGGCTAGAGTCGGCTGGTGCACCGCCCAGCGCCTCCATCGTGCTGCCATGGTCACCGGCAAGGTAGCTCTAGTGATCCGTCGAGCCAAGCGCCTCCGTCGTACTAGTCGATGCGTGAGGGGGTTGGGAGCACGACGTCGGTGACCTCACCGCCGGTGACCTTGCCGTCGATGAGCTATGGCTGGTCAACCGTCGTGCCCTGCTCTGTGTGCCTAACGCGTGGGCCCTTTGACCCATGGGGCCCAGCTGTCAGTCAGGGTTTTGAGTTTTCTTTATTTTTTTTCAAGGTTTTGTTGCAAACTTCAAAAATTTATATCTAAAGCTTGGAATGTCCAAATTGAGTGAACCAAATTTTGTTAGATTCACCATGAATTGTACTATTCGATAAAATGATGAAACCTACTGTTTGCGGTATTTTTCGAGGGGAATTAAATTAAGCTAGTAAAATGCTTTTAAATTAGTTCGTATCTTGTAAAATGCATAACTTGAGCTAGAGAAGTGCTAAAAATATGATTCTAGTTTTATTGGTCTTGTGTTGATGTGCTTTAGCTAGGAAAAAATACTAAACCTACAGTAGACATACTTGGAATATGGTTTTACTATTTAACCTTGATTAATTGGTAGTTTCTGGTGAAATTAATTGGGGTAAAAATACATAACTTATGATCATGAAAATTTTTATACAATATTCTTATACTAGGATGAAAGTAAGAAAAATATGAAATTTGTTGTTTGACACTTTTCACTAGGCTAGACTATTTTTGCTTAAATAAGCCTATGCAACTTGTTATTTTTTTAGAGGTGGCTATACTTATCCAAATGGCATGAAATTTGTACATTGGACTATTAGAGTTATATATAGGCTACTGTAATGTTCGCATGATTTATTGTGCACTGGAAATAATTATACTTTAAATCGCCCTATTATATAAGGAAATTAATAAAGAGGTATAAATAAATTAATTGGGCTTAACCATAATATTTTCTATGGTGCTTGTGATGCATATAATCTATTGATAGTAGTAGTTGTGCTTAAAATTACTTGGTTATAGGCAGCTAGTTAATTATCATTCTATAATTCAACTAGATGGATGCATGTGTAGTTTCTGTTGTGGTGACAATCTCGTGATGAGAATGATCTTTTCTGTGAAACTTGTCAATAATAAAGTTGTAGATAATTTTATAAGCTTTTTGAAAAGTCCGAGATCAAGTTAATTGGATGTGTAAAACTCTAGTTATGGTCAAAACAAGTTGCTGTTATTGAAGTCTAGAAAATACCTAAGTGAGTGTTTGATTAAGTACTAGAGAAGAGATCTGCACCTACTCAGTAAAAGTAAGTTAATCTTGATATCACCCTAATGCCTTGCTATAAAAGATATTTATTATTATGCATTTCATCATGTCATATCATCCATGTCGTTACCTATGCATCCATGGTATCTTATTTCATGCTCATGCATATAGGATCGCTAGAAGGAATCACCCTCTTGGAGTTCGAGACTGAAGAGGAGGAGAATCAGGAGGCACCATAGCAGGTAGGTCATCAAAGTGAGGAGCAGGCTCCAGAAGAACTACCAGAGTGCCCTGATCATAGGCTAACATCTTTTCTGAGAGGCAAGACCCAGAGCATTCTAAGCCTCTTATGTTTAATAAAATATCACTTGAGTCCTTTATGTTTGACGCATTAGGTTATAAGAGTTGATTGGAAACACTTGATGCATATAACTTTCTTATCCAGAAATATACCTTGAACCCTGTGTAGGTCCAGGATCGAATATATGTTTAGCCATGCTTAGATCGATAGAAGTTGGTTGATTTTCTGTCACCTGCAATATATAGGTGGATACCAGAGCACAGTTGGCTATATTTGCTATCGTGAAAAAGAACCATGGGATAATATAACTGGAGGCCGGGTGGAGTCTATGTGTAGGTTGACTCATGTGATTTCGTCTGTGCCGATTAAGGACCATACCGGTGTTGGCACTTCTACCAAGATTGAACGTATGCCTCTCACTTAGCTGGCTGGATAACTCATTCCGACATCGAAGCCGAGTAGCTCAACTCAGGCCAGGACCCGTTAAGTGAAAGTGTGCACTCTAGAGGTAGTAAGGATGTACAGGGAGCCAGTGTGAGGCCAAGGGCAAGTTAGAGTCCTGATCGACCTGGCATCCGGTAGTGTCCCTGAGGGTGCGGCGCTAATCGGACCCGCAAAATATGTATTTGAGTTGTACCAAAGGTGACCTAAGACTACCTTGGTGTAGGTATGTCCGGGTTTATGTTAGTAATAATTGCCCACCTGGTTTCAACTGATTCGAATCGCCGTCTCTCCCGGATAGTGAGAAACTCGACTAGCTCCAACATCGTAGTAATTGGACTATGGAATGTGATGGTTATGATGAACATGGAAATTTTACACCGGCTATGGTTATTATTGTTATGCTACCCAATTCTACATCACATGTTTGGCACAGGTTAGTTGATAATCTAGAGATGAGTAGCTATAATTAACTTGATGACCGAATTATAAAATGTGTAGCTCAACTAGTGCCTTTTGCAAAAATATTGTCAATCTAGCTCCACTTATTAAGCCTTGCATGATCCTTGGAGTTACTTTATTTTTGGTTTATGACGGGTAAGTCTAGTTGAGTACCTTTTTATACTTAGGGTTTATTTCCCACTTGTTGCAAATAACACAGTCTATCATGGATATTGTAAGAATTGCTTCTCTCCCACTGTGGACGAGGAGTAAGGCTATGGGCAAGGCTCTTCTAAGTTATCTGATGTCCCATGCTTTTGTTGGAATGGATCATGAACTGGCATGTATTTGAACAAGGGTGTGTAATGTTAGTTTTAAAACTATATTTGCTTCCGCTACTGTATTTAAATTTGGTATTGTAA